GCTGGGGGGGCTTGGAGCCCCTTCACGCCGCGGCTTTGGGTCGTGCGCCCGGGGTGCGCGCGCAGCGAGTCAGGGCCGGGGACCCCAGGGTGAGCTGAGTCAGAAAGAGCCTTAAAATCATGGAGAGATGCTGAAAGGGCAAGAACAAGCGACAGAAGGTGAATCTCGGGGCGAAAAGGATATAGAGAAGGATGGAATCTGGACTTTGAGCGGTGAACTTCGTGTAGTAAACACACACGTTGATTTTGAGCGCCACACACTTGAAACCTATAATGTTACGGTGCAGTGCTACTTCAGTAAAAATATAAAAGGGAGACCGACAAATCTTGAAGAAGAATGACGTGGGAAGATTAAGATACATTGACTGGAACAGAATGGAGAGTTCACAAAGGGCTACTTGCGTTCAGAGGTGTATGTTATCTCAGAGGTGGTTCTGCTGAGCTCAGCGAAAGCACTTAGTTCCCATGATGAATAATGCTGGGTGAAGCAGTTACTCAAGAAGGAAAAGGAAAAGAGAAACTTGAGCCCTGCTGCACATTATCTTACGCACAAATAATCATTCCATGTCATGTGTGAGGTGTGAAAGATAAAAAGAAACTAAAATAGGGGTGGGCCCTCCCTGGTGGCTCAACAGGTTCAACAGGTTAAAGCGCAGCACTATCCTCACTAGGAAGCTACCTGCAGCCCAGGATGCTAGCTAGCTGCAGCCGCTTCAGCACCCAGTTTGATCAGCCAGGGAGCTGACCCGTACAGTGCGGCAGACCTCTCCTGACCTGCCCTCTGCTCCCCTCAGCAGTGACTTTCTAGATCTGCTGGTTCTGCTCCCTGCCCTGTCTCTGGTGATCCTCTCACTGCCTCTGGCCTGTACCCCAGCTCTGTATGCATAAATAAATTCTTTTTTAAAAAAACTAAAATAGGGGTACATCTTCACGACCTTGGGATTACTAAGCCATTGAAAAATGCGACAGTGTGAAAAGGCTTGTGCAAAATGTTTCTAGCAGCATTAGAGGTAATGACACCAAGCTGGGAACAACTCAAAACCCCTTTTAGCAGTGCCATGTATACATGTGCCTTTGACAATAACGTAATATAGCATGTACCATCAAGATTGCTGGAAATGAGAGTAAAGGCCCGGCAGGACTTACTTGCTCTGTTTCCCTTCCCCAGGAGCACAGAGCTCTCTGCCTCTGAGTCAGTCTGAGCCAGGCTCCTGCTGGCTAGGAGGATATTGAGGACTTGGGGGTCAGGCCTTAGGGGAGTTCTGAGCCTCAGAGTCTTGTCAGTTGCTCAATGATGAGAATGACTGCAGGTGAGTCTGCTCAAAAGGTGTGGGGGTAGGGTGGGAAGGGACACCTTGACTCTATTACTGTCCTTAGCAGAGAAAGTTGTGAGCCCACAGTGACATTCTGTCAAAACTACTCCAACCTCCATTTGGGACACCACAGGACAGACTTCTTAATATTCCTTTATAGAAAGTGGTGTTGTCTTTTGAGTTTGGGGTCCTTGGGTTCACTCTGGGAAAGGTTTCACCAGAGCTCCCCTATATTCCTTTATAGAAAGTGGTGTTGTCTTTTGAGTTTGGGGTCCTTGGGTTCACTCTGGGAAAGGTTTCACCAGAGCTCCCCTTTCAGCGGCACATGGCGAGATTCTTCACCAGACAGAGACTCAGTTACATTTAAAGAGGAAGTTTATTAGAAAGAGACATGAGAGAAAAGACACTTGCATAGGCACAAGTGGGCAGAAAGAGCTGCCCTGAAAGGGCAGAAAAGAGGTTTGCAGAAAAGGTTTGCAAAAAAGAGACCTGCATGGTTGCAAGCAGGTGGTCTTAGGAGAGCGGCCTCCCTTGAGGGAGGTCAGTGCAGAGAAGTCCCGGCATGGTACAGGTCACCGGCAGGCAGGATGCTGTGGCCCTGCAGAGAGAGAGGGGGTGGAAAAAAGCTCCTGCATAGGCACAGGTGGGCAGAGGAGTGGCTGCCCCAAGCTGGTGGAGAGACTGCCCAGATATAGACAGCCTTTCCCTGGGAGGGGCTCACTCCATGTGAGCTTAGGTTGGTTGACTTTGAATAGAATCTGAAGATGTTTCTGATGACCTTCATCTCCATGTCCTTATCTTGCGCCTTTTGAATTTGAGCTTCAGACAAAGCCCCCAACAGTCTGTTATCTGCTGGGAACTCCAGCAGATATTCAGGCATCATCCTGGGGCCTCCGGACACGGGTTAAACTTGGTGCTATGGCTGTGTCAGTTGCTGCACTGGCCCCTTCTACCTATCCCCTTTGTGTAACTCAGTCTTGTGATGTGTCCTCTGCATTCCTTCCTCCATCAGAAAGGATGCTCAAAGTGATTTTATTTGTTTGCCCAAGGACTATTTCACACACTATTTCACACATGTGTGTAACTGGGTGGTCCCTAGGAGAAGGGAAGTTCCAGGTTCCCTGCCCCACCCAGAGGAGGGTGGAACTGAGCAGAGAAAAAGGAGAGAGAAGAGAGAAGGAAGACAGATGGAGAAGGAGACCTAAGGACTTGGAGCAGCAAACATGTGATGAAGAATCCGGGCTTGTTTCCTGACCCTGGACTGGTTAAGGCAGATGTGGGTGAGA